CAATATAATTGGCTGAGTTTCACACTGCACCTGCTGTAATTTACGCGCTTACACTGAACAGTAATATCTGTGTGAAATATTGAAATAGGTACCTACTATAATTATTTAAGTATTTGTAGTTTAGCATCGAATTGGAACCGGTGATTTTTGTAGTTATTCTCTTTAAATATATTTATTTAAGTTGTTAATTGCATTTGCACGCCTTAATATTTCTGTTGAATTAGTTTTGAAACAATCAGAAATAATATAAAATTATTAATTATTTTCAGTAACAATTTTATAGAGTTAAAGTGAATAGCGACATCTATTGGTAACCTGTGAATGATATTACAACACAAGGAGCGGTAACTAGTCTGAATAGCTTCTAGTTGAGTATGTTGTTAATAGATGGCGCAGTACTACAAAAATACAAAAATGTTGAATTAATACTAAATGAAAATTGGGTGTTAATTTTTTCAAAATTTAATTTAGATGATATCCATAAAAATACTACGTAGTTTCAACTTTCTGTTTAAAATTAATGTCTAAAATTTACTGTGTGTTCAGATGAAATACTTTTTTTTTTTAAAGTGAATACACTGAATAATTTATTAAATTGTTATAATTAAGTACGACAAAAATGCGTGAAAAAAAAAATGTTATGTCGTTTTAGGTTTCAGGACATTTTCGACTTTATTACAAGAGTATAAGGTTGTAAATATCAAAGAGTAAGGAAATTAAATTACAGGTTGAAATAGACAGAATGAAACAACCACAATTAAAAATGAAACTAATAATTACTTTATTTAGGCGTATTTTCCAGCGTTACATAAAACATACTAGAAGTTTTTAGTTCATAATATTCGATTTGACTTAGATTACTACGATAGAGGAAAATATAGCGTTTACTCTTTAATTAGCAGTACATTGCGAGTTTTGAATGAAAGAATATTGCAAATATCATTATAATCAATGTACAGAAAAGTTACTTCAAACTGTCAATTTCTTTATTAGATTTTCAACCATAAATCCTTGTCGGTAAAGTTGAAAGTTCAATAAGGAATTTTGACAGTTTGGCTCATTTTCACGTGTAAATACTAATTAAAGTGTAGGTACGCGTCCCTTAGAAAATAATGTTAAATAGTTTATTGTCAAACATTTCTATAGTTATAAGTACTCAATTAAATATAAATTTTCTTTGTTTCTTTTCTGTATTTTTCATTCAGATGGCGCTGTCTGGAAAGGGTATTAAAAAATAGGACAACTTAAAAATTAATTTGTAAGTTAGAACTACATGAAGCGATGTTAAAATCTCCACCAGAATAATAATGATAAACAAGAAAAACAAAAAACTAATAAAAAAACTCCGAAACAATAAACGACATACACAAAACTTGAGAACAACGCCATCTATCATCAACTCCTTATAATTATTATTGTCAATTTTCCAAATATTATTGTCGTCTCGGAAGTTCGTTGCTTAGAATAGAGAACGTAAATAATAATTATTTTATTGTAAGAGTAGTATGTTAATAGTTATTTTGTACAATCTAAAGTCTTTTATGGAGACACTAAGCTAGTTAAAGCCTTTCTATCTTACTCTACGAAGTGGTGTGAGCCAAACGTGTGTTTTATATAATTTTAATAGACGCCGGTAGAGCAACCTATTTTCTGCCGGATTACATTTTCAACTTTATTGTCTTGATATTATAGAGTCGAAAATTCAATGAATAAAATTGAAAGAGGGCGACTGTAGGTACAATGGTCAGTATGTCAACCTGATCCAATCTGTAGACTTTTTTTTATAGAATTTCCGACTTGATAATCATAAGAATAAAGTTAAAAAGAGTTGATTGAACTGCTGACCACTGAATCTTCTTATACTGGGAAATATAAGTTAATGAAATACCTATAACATCACACCTTTTACCCCCGAAGGGGTAGGCAGGTACACAATATGGCACTAAATGCAACAATACACAGAAATATTAAATAATATTATCTGTGGTACAATATAACACTCACTTTCCACTATTTATGTTATGAGTTCCATGTAATAGAGGGTGAGCCTATTGCCATATACCGGGCACAATTCCAGACCCGAGACCCCTTGCCCGGCAGTCGCTCGTGCGACCAACCCTGACTCCAACGAGGCAGAAAACGTAAGGTAGTAAGGCGAAACACGTCGAGTTACTTTGTCGACGAGTTACGTGCATAAATATTAAGTTCAACGTACCTAATTAGGTAAAAATATTTTCTGTTCCAATATAATCACGTACACTGCAAGTTAATTTGGTTAAATGCTTCAGGTATTCGATGTAATTTATCAATTACATTTAGAAAATGTTTATGCATAAAATAACCCGATTCCTGAGGATATTTATAGTCATTTACAGCCTAAAAAAAGCATATTGTAAGGTACAGGTTTGATTACCTCATTACCTTACATCCTTCATTTTAATTTCGCACTTGTATTTCCCGGCATAATTCTAATATTGGTAATGACATAATTGGATTATGTATTCATTTATTGAGGTCGGCACATTGTATATAATAAGGACCAGATACATTGCTCACAAATTGCACTCTCGACTCTAAGGACCAATTTTATGGTAAGGGTCTTAGAAACCCCTTAGTTGTTATATTTAGAGGACCCTATGCCCCCTTACAAGTTCCAATTTACTAGTAAAAACCATGGCGAGTTTAATGGGGTACTTAAATACCGCATATGCCTTTATCTTTCCCTTCAAAAATTAAACGGCTGTTGAAGGTTTTCCATCGTCATCAAAAGGACCAATCTTATTGCTACAGTTTTATCAGAATTGTGTTATCATATTATGTGTAATTAAATATTTCTCCGTATATGGATTTGGAATTTATATCTGTTGTTTGGGAAATCAATTGGTCGCTGCTTTGACTTTAAATCTTGATTTTGATAAAGCTAAAACAACGTAGTGTGGGCATTCGGTCAAGCTGTCTGCTAGATAGCTATTAGAACTCATAGGAAATTGTCATTCAACGAGAAATCTTTGTTTACTATTGGATCTCTGCCAGCCGCTAATTTAGATGATGACTGTGACATCATAATAACTATTATCTCCCTGGCTTTATCTAGTTGGTCCTTAGAATCGAGATTAAATAAAACGGAATAGAATCTAGAACAGGCACACTTGACTACCACATCACGTAGCTAAAAGGCTAAGCCTTAGTACTAAATACTCATTGTAATGCACACAGTACCATAACACACGCCTTTACGATAACAAACAAATACAAATGTCTTCAATAAAATACAATAATTGTTTCCTAAAGTAATTAACAGATAAAAAACTTACTGTAGTCGTCGTAAATTATTTTGAATACAAGACTGTTAGTTCTATAGCGGTTTTCTCGTTTCCTTTACGAAACCAATTATTTTAATGTCATAATTTCATACAATGCTGCATCCACACGCTTATTATTATATTCCTAATGCAAGCAAGCTGTAATAAGAAGGGAACTTACGTAATACGAAGCGACACTATTATTTTTTTAATACATATTTCATTTTTAATATTATAAAAAATCTAGAAAATGTATAAATTCACAACCTATTAAATTTGTCTATTAATAATCCGTGTGATTATGATTTTATGTTAGTAATAATAATAATTATGATCGTTATTTTTTGAATAATAATCTCTAGAGAAATTATTTGCAAATAATTGAATAATAATTTATTTTTTATTACATTTCGATCTTACTGCGGGGTTTAGGCCTTCTAATTAATGAATTATGATTTATTATTATTAATATTATAATAAATATATAACTATGTAAACAATTTTAATAATTACTTAAGTAAGTACATAAGATTTTTATAACAGTAACAGATACAGTTTTTCAACCAGATCAATAAAATTAGCTATAAACGTAATAATATTCTATTTTTATTATATTATGTAATTGTAAATAAAACATGTCAGGTAAAATAATATTCAATTATCATCTAATATTATCTAATATAATTTTTTTGAATAAATAAATTTGAATAATTTATCAACAGTTTATAAACTCAATAAACATTTAATGAAAGAGATGGAGATATAAATGGCTGTTATAATCTAGAGAAGGCAACAATCTAACTGGACAATACACAATCTTATAATTAAGAAATACAATACATTTATGAGGAAAAATTAGCTATTCTTTAATTTTCCCTCTATTTATGTGAAATAAATAGAAATTTAAGTATTAGCAGTGAATTATGAAGTTATTAAATTATAAGTTGGTCTCTTGAATATAAATTATAAGAAAAAATTAAAAAATTTAGGTATTTATAATTTTATTGCAGAATAGAATTATTTATTTGCAATAAATGTAATTCAAAATTATTAGATTTTACAAAGTTATAAGGTTTCTTCTACATTCTACGAATAAAATAGAATATGAAATAAAATAAAATAAGCACATAAAATAAAATACAATACCTAATGTAGGAATAATAAACAAGTTAAAGAAAGAAGTCTGCTCAGTTTATTAATAATTTGAATAGATATTTATTTATGTCAAAACAATATATTTTCTACGTAAACTAATGATGATGTACCTATGTTCTAGTCAAAGGTTTTAAATTGGACGAACAAAAATCCAAAGGAACTGTGATTGTCTCAGAATATTTTCTTATATAATTAGGCACAACATTAATTAATCAGTAAAATATAGCAAAATCCGACAACTAGTACACCATAAGTAGTTCATAAGTTACTGACCTTTGTTACGCTAACAAAATCATAATTACATTGTTCCCATAAAATGTTCATTTAAAAATTAAATTTTATATTTTTTTTTATTTTATCTTCCATGCCATAAAATGTAAATAATAAATGTATTTTTTATCTTACGCCCATTTCATTTTTATTCAACAAAAAATATATTTTTAATTACAACGCCAAAAATATTCATTGTGAAAATGTATAACGAATTTTGTTAAATGTCATTAAGGTTTTCGAGAATAATTATAATATTCTTATTACAATAATGTCTACAGTCACTGCATTCTTTCTAAGTATATTTCATTCAAATAATTATAATTCAGTTACTCAAATCGACTCTAGACTAATTATTTATTTTTCATAATAATTATTTATTGTCTTATTTTATTGTCGTAGTTAAGATAGGAAAGCTCGATAAAATATTAACCAGTTAATAGTTAAGTAAGATAGATACTTTCGCTATTCTTGAGAATTTGGGAAATATAATTATATTTTTTTTCTATGTAATTATCTCTAGGGAGAGTTAGAGAGGTAAAGTGTGGACCACTGCAATCTTAAACAAACTAACTTTAAATGAAACTATTTAGATATGGGTGTAAGGATATGCGAGTACATTAATTCAATTTTTTTACTAAATATTCTAAAGATTAATATCGCCCACCATAAAATTACGTGGCGTATTTCTTTTTATTTTATTTAAAAAATGTTTAAAAGCACAGCCAAAATTTCGCGGTGGATTCGATATAATTTTGTTCCTACGTACAAATTGTTCTCGAACGTTCGTATTTACTTGAAAACTTTGCAATCTTTAAGCCACTTTAAATACGGGGAACTATTTCTAATCTACATTATTTATAATATTTGAGACGATCTTATATCAGAAGGTGACGCAGACAATACGAGGTGTTCTTACTTAAGAACACACGTTAACATGTGACCATACAATCAATAGAGACCCGCAACTTCTTGTCTTCCATAGTTCTGTCCCGAATAACATTTCCTTAAAACCTTATCTAAACTACGTCTAAACCAAAAGTCTTCAAGTAAATACGAAATGCTCTAACTCTTTACCTTTTCGGCGACAAACTCTGAACGTAATTGGGGTCCATCTCATCGAGGTCCTTGCCTTTAGTTTCCGGGACACAGCAGACCACGAAACAGAGACCTCCTACACTTATAGAAGCGTACAACCAAAACGCGCCGTGCAATCCTAACGTTTGTTGGAAGTCTACAAAGGTCTTGACGCCGACAAAGGCGCAGAGGTAGCTGAATGCCGTCGCCATCGCACTGCCGAACGCCCTGTACTCCAGAGGAAACAACTCTCCAATCAATAGCCAAGATATAGGACTCATACCCAACGAAAACGCAATCGTAAACACTAGAACACAAAGCAATGGAATCCAATCATTTTGTCCAATAGTCTGGTGGAACATTACGTTCTGAATTCTTTGATTGCGGTGCACCTCTTCGTAGTACGCGTAACTTCCGAACCCTGCGAGCGCCATAGACATCAATACGGAACTGACTATCAGTAAAGGAAGACGACCAACAGTGTCAATAAGCAAGCCGGACAGACAAGACGCGAGGAGCTGAACGAAGGACACAGCGATAGCGGCTCCATGAGGGTTCATGCCACCAAAGGTCTTCCTAAATATCGGCACAGCGTAAAACGAAAACGCGTGTGCTCCAGAAAATCTTTGAAACATCATTAGGCCGCATGTCACTAGAATTGGTCCTAAGAGCCGGTTCATGGTCCTTACGTCCAAGGAGTTGATGAGTTGACTCCCTGACATTTGACTCTGTCGTTGGCTGAAGTTCTTACTGGCGAGGACGTTTGTGCGGATCGTGGCTAACTCTTGGGCAACATCAGAGTTAGGACCACGTAACCAGAGCAGACTTTTGTATGCTTCTTCATCTTTCCCTGTGAGAACGAGGTAGCTCGGTGTCTCAGGTATGTACAGAACGGTGCAGAAGAGAAGTAGAGGGGCTGCAGATATACAGAGTGCGAGCTGTTGCCAGTCGAGATAGGCACCGATGGTGAAACTGAACAGGACGCCAAGATGGCCGACTATCTTGAGCACGGCGCTGAGACAGCCGCGGATGTCCGGGACTGATATCTCACTGATGTACACCTGAAATTGTTAAAGTACAATAATCAATTTGTAGTTATGCCGCTGTGCTATATTGGGTTTGATCGAGTGGATAGTATAGATTTTATTCGTGTTGACTAAGAGTGGACAATTGTTCGTAAATAAATAAGACTTGGAGAAAATATTGAAAAAGCTTTGAATTTCTTTTGTGTTTCTAATTAGTTTTAAACAACGACTACTAATTACAAAGTTAGTGTTAAAATTACGAAGAATTCATCAAACAAACGACAAATTAATTTAATTTTAACCGCTTTCGAAGTAATAAATAAGTAATTCGGCCGTTAGAAGTTTCCCTTTCATTTGAATTTTCTTGGATTGGCGGCCGGAGCTGAGCCTTGGGCGCCGGCCGGCATTACGAACTCAACAAACTTTAGGACTTTGTCAAATTACTTAAACTGGGGTAACCATCATATACTACGAAAGTATTCCAATAAAGAAAACCAGAAGAAGACAAATGCTGAATAACTTTTATTAAGGACAAATCCAAAAGATGTAGGTATTCGTTTTAAGATTGCGCTGTCATTTCTTTTTACTTGTACATTAGTAATTATACATTTAGGGAAATATCTATTAATATCAAAAATTACGTACTCGATTTCAAAAGTCAAACAAATTGAACTGTGACTGAAAAATTCTTTTACCTTTATTTCTTTCGAGATTTGTGGACTTTCTACTTTGGATTATTGGATTAACTAATTTTTAAAAGTAACAACTACTTTTATTTCTAAAAACCCTACCATACGTATACATTTGAACATTAACTTCCTAATCTTCTATTATCCAGTTTCAGTAGGTACTCATCTTCCAGATGACCCTCATCTCAGATGAAAAACTTTAATTAAGGCAAAGTTTACAAGAAAATGCTAAAAAGATGAAGATCAAAGTCGAGTATCTACATAGCCAAACAACTAAGTACAATGGAGATTCGCTTTGTCTTTCATCTGCCTCGAGGCGTGGTCAACTCACTAATTGACTAAGACATGCGGGCCAAGAAATTGGTCCTTCGAGCCGAACTCTCCAAAACAATATGCTACGTAACACAAACGTCTGAAGGTCTGTTTTCCGTTATCTGCAAGAGAATCAAATTGAAATGTCTGTACAAATAATTGTCTAAACTTGCAATGAATTATTTGACAGGTGAGTTATCTGGTGTTTAAATCTGTTTGAAGCTTTCTTAGACAAAGCTGTCTAGTGTTTGAGTCTTTGTAACTATTTGCTTTATTACTATAAACCGAAACAAATAGTCTTCTTATAACCAATAGGATAAGACTATTTGTGTTGGTTTACGGCAATTTTAAGTGTTATCCTTTCATGTCTTAGGATTATCACAATATTGGATGGAGAGTTCGACATCTAAACTATAAGAATGAATTCAAGTTTTTGTTTGTTTTGTTGTTTTTGTGGTTCTGACCACTGAATTCATATTTTTGTTTAAGATTTAAGACGTAGCTGGGTGGTTTCCAAACCATCACATTGCAGAACTTCATATCAACTACAACTCAAAGTTCCTGTTTAAAGCGAAACCAAAAAAAATAATAAGGTATCCATTTTACACGGTAAACCACCAAATATTACTCGTTGAATAAACCAAAATAAAGATCATAAACTTACTTGCGACAGCATAGTCAATATAGAACAGCAGAATCCTCCCAAGAAGGCGGTGATGCACATCATCCTGACAGAGGTCGCCACGGTAGTGAGTAGCCAGGAGAGACTGCAGGGTGCCGCCGCCAGGGACAGCACACGACGGCGACCGTGGCGCATCGCAGCACCACCTGCCATGCCACCGAACAGAGCACCTGGAAGGACCAAAAAAGGACCATGATATTTGTAAGACGTGGTCTATGGTCAAATTGGGTGGGTTTATTTTTATACACTATATTTCCGTGCTTACAAAATGGATATATTCTACGTTATTATACGTAAAAAGATCCTGTAGGTTGATGATAATTAAATGGATATTTTTTTGGTAGAATTATTTGGATTTCTTAAAATAAAGACGGATGAAGTATTCACTATCTATTCACTATGTATAAGTCACTTAGTGATCTATCTGTCCGAAATAGTTGGCTGTCAAAAATTTACTTTTATATTTTGATAATAAGTTTCCAATGTCTTTGAAACTTGAAATGTGTACAGAACCCATAGTGATGAACGTGTTCGATTTATTTTTATCTTATACTTTTTTATTATTATTAATGCAAAAAGAAATATTTTTCAAAAATTCTTTTGAATTCACACCTTCGTACCTATGGACATATTTCTTTTGCGAGGAATTTTCCCGAAAACATTTTGTGACAAAATTCCTGTCGTTTTCAAACTACATTAATTTTTAATTTTTTTTTGTGAAAAAATCCACAAATTCCGTCTGTAATATTTATGAATAAAGTTGAGTATCACGGTGTTATAATATGGAGTGCATGGCCCATACATCATGTCTTTACGGACTCCCAAGAATTTTAATTAAATTGCCTTTTCGCCCAGAGATGTTACTACGCAATACTGATGTCAGGACGGATATTTTGTATAATGTATTCAGTTTAATAGACTTTGGATAATATGTGGGTGATTGTGGTTATTCCTTGCCATTTATTTTCTAATTACCCATATTCTGACAGTTTGAGTATTTGTGCGACCCACGCAAATGTTCTTTAGGTTGATAATTGATATCGTTCGTCGAATCAGTCAGCCTCACCTGTTAATTGAGCGGATTGTAAAGCGACACATGCGTACTGCCTTCAGAGCAGGTCCGCTCAAACTGTTGTGGTTCTTTCCTCAAAAGGCCACTACAGAAAGAACTTGCACGGTTCTCACACATAATCATTTATACATATTTGTCTGAACTTTAAAAGAGACAGACCTCTGAGTTTGTTTCGGCATTTCTTCTCAGAGTAGTCAGTTAGGAAATGTCGACCTCATCGTTCGCTTGATAAAATTGACGTGTAAAAGTGCTGCCTTGTAGCCTATTAGCAGACATGAATTCACTTGTTTCACTTGATTCAGTCATTTTATTACTTACGTTTAACTCCGGTCGCAAAAAGAGGTTGTTAAAATTTTGACTTTGTTCTTTGTCTGTCTTTCTTTTTAAACGTTGCCCTACATTAAGATTTATTCCTATGACATGAGTACGTTTACAAACATACAAGTTCAGAAACACATGACATCCAGACCCGGAACAACAATCTGTTGATCACACAGAGTTGCTCCGAGCGGGATTCGAACTACACGTTGCGCGGCAGCCGTGCTGTCTGTCCAGCTGTTCTGTGTCTATCTATGACACTGAAGCTCTTGAATAACACACAGTATTGATAACTGCACGAAAGAACTCTTTGTGTGATCCATCAATTGCTGTTCAGGGTCTGGGTGTGATGTGTTTTCATCAGTGTTGAGCAATGTATGCTTGTACCCACGACACAGGAGAAAATCCGAACGTAGATATGTTTTTCCAAAGAATAATAACCTTCGTTTACCTAGAAAAGACAGTGAGGCAAGCCACGACGCCTGTTGGTCAGTCAGCTGGAAGTCTCTTCTAGTGGCATTAGCTCCCGGTCCCTGTAGGGACGCTATGGCAGGGGAGCTGTACCCCTTGCCGAGACCCGCTGAGAAGGGGGCTAGGGACACTGCTAGGGCTGCTAACACCTGTAAATAAAACGGTCATTCAACATACCACGTAATGTCACCCTTTTAAACCCCCAATGTGCACTTCTTAATGTGCAGAGGTGCTCATGTGGTATAGAGCACCTCTATCTACTAAGGACTGGTCGTGAACTGGACATAATTTTTTTTCAACTGTATTTTTGATGAGTTATATTGTAAGTTAACATTATTACCTATTTTTAAAGAAAGAATCATAGAAATTGGTATAGAAACATCAAACTTATCCATCAAATACGCTAATGAGCCGTCGCGACTTTCGCGCGTAATTACTAATTCATGCTATAAGGATTATTTGGTGTATATGTTTGTTTTTCAGTCATATAAAAACGACTGAAGTGACCGGTGTATAATTCGGAACAGAGGTAGATTAAGGTCTGAAATAATCATCATCATCACGAACAGCCTATAAGAGCACACTACTGAGCATAGGCTAATCTCACACGGAGAAGGTTTGAGCATTAATCATCAATGCGCGTTGGCAATTACAAACATATAATTAGAAATTATAAGCCCAGATTTCCTCATGATGTTTTCCTTCACCGTTTGTCAGTGGTGTCTAGATCTTGGAAAGTACATATAACTTGGAAAAAGTCACATTGGTACTTGCCGTTGGTGGGTTTCGAACTCGCATCCTCATGCATGAGAAGAGGGCGTCTTAAGCCTCCGGGCCAGCACGACGCCGCTATACCTACATATGTTATTAATGTGTATGACTTCAGTGTACTGAAGTAATACATAGGCATTTTACCCCTAAGATCACGGGCGAAGCCGCTGGCAGAAGCTAGTTTATAATATTAGTAAGACGTAAGATAAGATTAGTATTAAGTTTTAAATACATTTTATTCGTTTTCATGAATTGGCTAATTAGCCATATACGTGAATTAGTACGTACCTAATATGATAAACCACGTTGCGCAAACGATTTTAAACACCTCAGTACTAAAGACGTACCAGGTAGACACCGTTCTTCAAACCATCATCGGATCTTCAATTTCGTTTACCGAAAGATGTCGATAAACAAATAATGTATGTTAATATCAACTCGATCTATTCGTGAACACGTTCGAACGTGCCGAGAGCTGCTACACCGGCGAAGCTTCAAAAAAAACCTATTTTGTTAAAAACTCTTTACAATTTTGTTTGGTAAATAACCACTATCGGTGATTTTGTTTGTTGAACGTCGCTTCAAAGACACGTCTTACGGAAGATACGAATTTTAAAATTAAAGAGGTTTTCAATTAGGTATCTATGGTTGTTATGAGCAGTGTCAATAACCTGTGGATACATTTGTGTCCCTAGAAATTTTAATTTTGATACAGATTATTACCTAGTTCTTAATTATTATGTTTTCGGCTTACTCACGTAACTGTTTGGCGAGGAAATCGACTAGTATCAAGCCATGCTAGATGCTATTATCCATGAACAGCACTCCGCGACCCTCGACGCGGCGACTGTCGCGTTGCTAACTACGCTATTGTGATGCGTAATAATGAAAAGCATTCGTCCTTGTGCCAGCACGAATCATTTAAAAAACCCGATAACTCTCCGACTGAGCCTAATAAAATCACAATTTTCAACTGTTCTGTTAATAAGTAAACTAGTAGGTACTTACGAAACTGATATGTTAATCGTGTTATTACCTAATATGAAATTAATTTGTCAAACAATGTAACTTTTAAGAAACAATACCTACTTCTACACTCACTAAAGATTAAATATTTTGTTTAGACGAACACAGCATAGACAATATTATTATAATTTTTGATTTTTATCACAGAGTTTAGTAATTTTTTTATTGTTTAACACACACATTTTTCCTAAAATTTAGGCGGGCGTTCCATTTTTAACAATTAAAAAATAATAAACTATAATTTTTTAAAGTATTTGTCATAAACAAAGAGGTTGCTTTTAAAATTTCTTTTAAAGTAAATTACTGGCTGATTACTGTCAAAAAAAAATTAGAGATGCCATAAAATATAATTAAAAAAGAAATTTAAAAATAAAACTTATATGGCATCCTTAGTTTTTCAACGTATTACGGTCAGTATCATTTTACATGATACCTATTTGGTCACAATGACGTTTGTTACAGTTTATTAGTTAAAATTAAGTCATTTTGTTTATTATGCTTTATATATAAATAAAAACAAGGAATACCTTTTTAGTTACATTTTGTGTATGTGCTGCCCAATATATCTCGAGGAATGACACCGAAACCAAATAATAGGATTTTTTTTTAATCATCTATTGGGCCAATACGACCAGTAGGTAATTTAACCATTTGATAAATTAATAAGAATAAGTAAACAAAAAAGTATTTTATCTAGGTCCTCTTTATTTTCACGAAGTCTATGAATAATTATTAAAAAAAAATAACGTGGAATATGGTAGGTAAACAAAGTCAAAATCAAATCATATAATTCAATTCAATCATAATTTGGTACTTTTTTTTTTTTTTTTATGGCATAAGCCGGTAAACGAGCAGACGGATCACCTGATGGAAAGCAATCGGCGTCGCCCATGGACACCTGGAACACCAGAGGCGTTACAAGTGCGTTACCGGCTATTTGTGGATTAGGAGTTTGAGGATCGTTGGGGATTCAGGGATTGGGGAGATTGGGGAAGGGGAGGGAAATTGGGCCTCCGGTAACCTCACTCACGCGACGAAACACAATGCAAGCGTTGCTTCACGTCGGTTTTCTGTGAGGCCGTGGTATCACTCCGGTCGAGCCGGCCCATTCGTGCCGAAGCATGGCTCTCCCACACTTGCGTGGACCGATTTCAAAAATTCTATGTTATTTGGTCATTAAATCAAGATCTGATGATGGAATTCCAGGAGAAAAATATAGGAACCACAAAACCACTACAATTTGATGAAGGTCTGGAGTCGATTTGATGATGGAGCCAAGAACCAGTCGAGGGAACTCCTCAACGGTTAACAGTAGCTATCTTGCATTTAGGTTTAATTTGTATTAATGAGGACTTTACACTTAGGTTTGGTGTAAATAAATAACAGTCTGTCAGTTTGTCCGTCAGCGAAGCTAGGTGCTCATTCTAAAATGTGGGTTCTATAAAGAAACTCTATTCGTTTCTCTTTTAAAAAACAAGGTAGGCAAGTATTACGTACCTAACTTGCTTTTACAGAATGATGAATATTCATTCGAGTTCCGACTGGTCAGTAGTTCCTATCGAAGTACTCTTAATATAGTATTCTCTTTGACTACTGAAGAAAAATATTTTAAAGTGCTGCAAGTTGAAAGCTGGTATCTATGTAATAAAGTTGAAAATTCAGTAACATTTACCAAAATAATCCTTGGGATATATACATTTCCTTTTCGTTCCGAAGTAAAATAGTTCTGTCTTGGTATTGTTTTTTGGTGGTGCATGGAACATTATCAAAACACGTATTACATCTAGTGATTCATAAGCATTTGAAGATTAATAGTTTATTTCAACTAAAAAAATAATACATACATAACACCACGCCTTTTATCCCCGAAGGGGTAGGCAGAGGTGCACATTACGGCACTTAATGCCACGACTGTACAATGTAACTTTTCACTATTTATGTTATGAATCCCATGTAATAGGGGGTGAGCCTATTGCCATATACAGGGCATATTTCCAGACTCCTACTGCTACTACTGGGATTAAAAAACACCCTATAATACTTTGCCCCCCGGGTTGGGCATGCAAAGTGAATTGAACCCGAGACCCTTTGCATGGCAGTCGCACTTGCGACCACTCGGCCAACTAGGCAACTAAAAAATAATGATTTTTTGTTTTTACTTTATGCATCGTAAGTACTCCCAATGGCAAGTTGTTTCGCCGCGGGACGAAAACGAAATAACACTAACTCCTTTAAACTGTCAAACACCAAGCGATCACCGGTGACCGCAACCTATTGTTCTATAATTGTGTCTATAATGACGGTACTCGACGAGTTAAACCAACTTCATTTTACATGATCGTCATCATTAAAAGCCTGTAAGACTACACTGCTGGACTTAGGGCCTCATCTACTTAGAGCATGTATTGCCATTGTCTCCACGTTTGGCAGACTGGAAGAAATTCGCAGTTTGAAAGGATCAAGGATTACAAGCGTTACTGTTTTTAATCTTTGAGTCGGTTGTTTGTTGTTCTTGCCCACAAATGCACAAAAAAAAACTGAATCACACAATAATTCTTTTTACACAAACCGACATCAACTCCCCTCTTTTTTTAAGACGGTTACTTAATATAGATACTAAAACCTTCTAGCTCGCCGCCCGACCAGAACCAGACCCGAGCGTACGTCACGTCGTGTTCCGCGCGCGCCTCAAAGAGCCATCAGACCACCACGGATAGGGCCCAATAGGGCTGGTGCCGATACGGAGCCGCGGAGAACCTAACGGGTTACCGGGACTCTGGCTCGTAGTGCAGGAGTAGGAACGGGGTGGTTTTTAGTCAGTAAGAGTCTGACACTCCCTCCCGCCTCACCCAGGCGGGAGCAGCCATTCGATGATTTTTCTACTCTTAAAAAATAGTGTAACAAACGCTTTTCTGAAAACTGCATTAAAATCGGTAAAGCCAATATCGAGATAATCGCACATAAACAATCATACATATATACAGGTCAAGCTGGGAACCTCTTTTTTGAAATCGGTTTTAATATAAAAACCATTTACCTGAATAAAGTCATTCTTGTTTTGTTTTTTTTTTAGCACCACTACAACCAACACACATCCGATCCTAAAGCAAAAACCCTGTTAAAAGCATGGATCAGAACTTCCCTAGCTGGCGTGTGCAATCAAAAAATTTTCCCCCCAAAACGGGGTGGGGGCGAACCGAACTGTTGGGAGTTACAGTTCGCTTCGAAGTTTTTACGAGAGGAGCAATAATCCGCAGGTCGTTAGTCCTCCTAATGAGGTCGGAATACGTGGAGTATCAAGTTTTGGGAACGGGCTTTGAGTTCAAAGGGATTACAGTATATTTTCACATCA